ACATGCCACAAAGAAGAGCTTTCTCTCATGAGAATGACCCTCCCTGTGTTTCCTCTCTCAGTAATCCTTCACTCTCTCTCTTCCTCTCACTCATCTATGTAAACTTTCCATTAAAAATGAACACACTGGTGCTTTACACACTACCCACTACCAATCAAAAGTTTGGACACACCTTCTCCTTCAGTGTTGCCTTTTTCGGAGTGTCACTAAGTGCAATGGTTGGGCTAGACAATACTACAGAAGCTGCCAGTCAATGAACAGCAATGATTGCATACAGAGTAATGCGCGTGGCAGTACATTTTAACGCGATTGTCCGAGTTCGAATCCGCCTTTTGCCAAAATCGTTCTTCTTTCTTTTCCCATAACATATCAGATCGGAAAGGCATTTATTTTCAATAAAAATGAAGGAAATAATTGAAAAGTTGAAAATAAAGTATTGGGTAGGGTTAGGATAGGTGAAGAGAGGGCTTTATTGTCCCATAAGGTGGCATCCATTTAATAATTTGAATTGAAGTCCCTGTCAAATCAAAATTAAAGTTTTTTGGGTGTTGGTATCAATATACTTAAGGTTTAGGTCTTAAGGTTATCTATAAGCCAGTGTGCTCCAAAACAGTGACAAAATTTGCATTTAGAAGATATAAGCATTCAAAGCTTGCAGTTCATCACTTCCACCAAAATGGATCAACGATTTTTTTGACGTACTTTCTAGAGCCCGACCGACCGATAATATCGGCAAAACGATATATCGGTCGGGCTCTAGTACTTTCACCTCATACTTCAGCTTCTCATCAAATCTTCTGACCAATCAAATGCTCTCTAGAATCCAAAGCGCCTGCCCTCTACACTATAAATAGATGCTGAAGCGCCGGCTGAGATCGGTCACTTGTTCACAGGATTTGTATTTACTGTACAGTGAATGGAACGTAGTGCAATATATAGGGGATAGGGAACGATTCAGACAGTGTAAATATGCTTTACATTGGGGCAAAAGAGGGTGAGTAATTAATGACAGAATTTTCATTTTTGGGTGAACTAACCCTTTAAGTTTATTTGGCATGCTGTCCGAGGAGAGGGCTCCGAGCTTGGAATTTTGGCCCGAACCCAGAGTACCCCCCCCTGCGGAGAAGGGGTGGCGGACGGATGCTGGAAAAATGTCAAGGAACAGAGGTAAGTCTGCTGTGTATATATACACACCTCTTATCTTGTTAACTGGGTTGATTGCTGATTGTGCTCCTCGTGTTAATTAAATTAATTATCTGAACGTGCTCCTCCCGAACTTTGTTAAAAAAAAACATCATATACAGTAAATAAATCAATAAATCCACTGCTCTCTTGTCTCCTCTGAGGCTGGGACTGTAAATAGTGTTCTGTGCTCGTCAGTGCAGCCAAAGGCAGAACAGTTTGCATGTTTTGCTCAAACTTTCGCCATGGCATTAGAACTGGTACACTGTTGGCGCTAACAAAATCAAAATGACGGAGCCGTGGATGGAAATGTGCAGATTAAGGGCTGGTAATATTATAGTGAGATCCCTTTGAAACATCACAAGGGGAGAGAAATCAGACACGCTCGTTTTTTTCAGACGCTTGCAGAAAAAGGCTTACCTAAACAAAGTTACTGGGTTAATCTTTTTCACGTGTCCTTGGTTGGTAGATGCACAGGGGACCTGATTATAGCACTTAAAACCTGGAAAAGTCAGATTTTCATGATACAGTATGTAACCTTTAAAGCTTTAATAAGAATAAAACCATATATTAAAAGCTAACATAAGCAGTAGCATTTACAAATAACAGCGTATCTAAAAGTATGAGACAACGACAAACAAAAACATACCATTAAGAGCTTGAGTGTGTGCTTGCACAGGTTCTGTGCGATCCTCTTCACTAATATTCTCTGGGTCTCAATCGAACTCAAATTCATAAGCAATATTGACAACGCCATTGTTTACAATACAACCGGAGCACATGCCACTGAGCTGAGGGGCGTGACATTTAGATGCACACTAGGCATTTTAGCGAATCACAACACACTGTGCCATCTAACCAATCCGAGCCCTTTGCATATTTCTGAGGGAGGGGTTTCATAAAAACAGGAAATCATCAGAGCGTTCAAAGGAGAAGGGACAGAGCGGTGTAGAATAAAGGTAAATTATGTGAAAAATAATGCGTTTTTAAAAAAAACGAAGCATTAACATGTTAGACTGCACCCCATAAGCACAATCAAGCCTAGAAAAAAAACAGTCAACCACCCCTTTAACATAGTGTAAATAGAATCTATAGCTATTTGCATTTATTGTAAATAGCATAGCTAAGAAAATACTGCTATTTTCACTTAGTGTAAATAGCATCTAATTGCTATTTACACTTTGTAAATAGCATCTATTACTATTACACTTAGTGCAAATAGCCACTGCCTTTTTTTATTATTATTTTCAACACTGTACATTAATACTGAAGACATCCAAACTATGAAAGAACAGGCATGAAATTACAAAAAAAATGTTAAACAACCAAGAATATGTTTTATATTTTAAATTGTTTAAAGTAGGTACATTTAGCTTTGATGACAGCTTGGCATAATCATGGCATTCTCTTATCAGATTCATGAGGTGGTCACCTGGAATGGTTTTCAATTCACAGGTGTGCCTTGTCAAGAGTTAACTTGTGACATTTCTTGCCTTCTTAATGTGCTTTAGACATCAGTTGTCTTGTGCAGAGGAAGGGTGGGTACAGAGTCAATAGCCCTATAGTGCTACTACGACTACTCTACAAATTCATATTATGGCAAGAAACACTCAGTTAAAGGTATAGTTCACCCAAAAATGAAAATTACCACAATTTACTCACACTTAAACCATCCTAGGTGTATATGACTTTCTTCTTTCAGACAAATACAATCAGAGTTATATTTAAATGTCCTGGCTCTTCCAAGCTTTATAATGGCAGTGAATTGGTGATATTTAATAGACCAATAGAAGTCCAATAAACTGTGCCAATCTGTCATAAAAAAGTGCTGTACATGACTCCGGGGTGGGGGGAAAATGCATCCTGAAGCAAACTTTTGCATTTGTGTACAAAAAATATCCACATTTAAAACTCAGTAAACCATAATCTCTAGCTTCCGCTAACTGGTACGTGCATACACGAGAGAGTGGCTTTCCAGCCGGATGATGTAGGACGATGATATGACGCAACTGGCTCTCATGAGATCGTCCTAGGAAAGGAAGACCAAGAGCAACCTCTACTGCAGAGGATAAGTTTATTAGAACTACCAGACTCAGAAAAAAGCCTATTGACAGCACCCCAGATTACAGCCTACATAAATTCTTCTTGGAGTTCAAGTGGCAGACATATTTCAACATCCATTGTTCAGAGGAGAGTGTGTGAGTCAGGCTTTCATGGTTGAATTGCGGCAAAGGAACCATAACTTTCGGAAGAGCAACAAGCAGAAGAGATTTGCTTGGGCCAAGAAACATAAGAAATGGACATTAGATCAGTGGAAAACTGTCCTTTGGCCTGATGAGTGCAAATTTTAGATTTTTGGTTCTAACTGCCGTGTCTTTGTTAAACATAGAGAGGGTGAATGGACAGTTCCTATGGTTGCCATAGTGAAACATGGAAGAGGTGTGATGGTATGGGGGTGCTTTGTTGGTGACACTGTTGGTGATTGAGGACACACTTAACAAGCATGGCTACAGCTTTTTGCAGTGACATGCCATCCCATCTGGTTTGCACTTAGTGGGGTCATCATTTGTTTTCCAACAGGACAATGACTCCAAACACACCTCTTAGTTATGTATAAGCTATTTGTCCAGGAAGGAGAGTGATGGAGTGCTGAATCAGATGACCTGACCTCCACAATCACCTGATAGTTTGGGATGAGTTGGACAGGAGAGTGGAGGAAAAGCAGCCAACAAATACTCAAGGTTGTTGGAAAACCATTTCAGGTGATCTCATGAGGCTGACTGAGAGAATGGCAGGAATGTGCAAAGCTGTCATCAAAGCAAAAGGTGGCTACTTTGAAGAATTGAAAGTATAAAACATATTCTGAGTACTTGTTGACTGTTGACTACATAAGTACTAGGGCTGCCCCCTAATAGTTGACTAATCGTTAGTCGACCAGGAGAGGCTTGGTCAACCAAAATGTTATTAGTCGCTAAACAGGCAAAGTCACACAGTCCGTGACAAACAGATCATTAACAGCTGCTATATGTGGAAATACAGTACATCGGGCCGGACATCCAAATGCTTGCCTATCATTCATCGACCTCAAATATGACTTATCATCTGAAATATGTAAGTATTAGCAACTTTACATGGCAGCTCAATCTAATGTTAACCTAGAGAATGGTAACCTAGAGAAATGTGCGCTATTCAAATGTGTGTGCGGAGTGTGGAAGCTGAACAGTAGCATTCACTGGACAGATGGAGGTGCCGGTGTGCTCACTTGCTCTTAAAATACTCCCTCATTTTTGGTCATACAGATAAGAATAATACATCTTTAGAATCTGTAAAGACTCAACGTTTATTTGTGTGCACTCACAATAAAAACAAAACGCGCTTTTGTAAAATAATGAAAGCAAACATGATGCACTTTCTGCCGTCTCGGTCTCTGTGAACTTGAGCGCGAAACTCTGTGTAGCCTATATCTTTGCCTTACAGACATAAAAAATATATCTATGCCTTACAGACATAAAAAAATATATCTATAGAGAGTGAAATGTCTACTTTCAAATGAACCAATTCAAAAGGAAAACAAATTCTCAGATTATGTAATCCTTATGAAACATGCAAACAGGCACATTCATCACTACTGCAGAGATGAGGAGTCGGTGTCATCTCTTAAACCGAAAACTAAGAAAGCACTAGTTTATCAAATTAATAAAATGTTAATGCAGTCTCCTTACTGTTTTTCCATGACACATTCATAATCATTACTTCTGCCGGTGCGCTGTGGCAAGCTTTATGCATGTGCTTGAGCAGTTGTTAGGCTACGTAGGAAATTAAAGGCTCATTATAATAATTTAAAACGTTTATTAATAAACGTGCGATTAGTTGACTAATGCTTAAAATGAACGACTACTAGTCGACCAGAAAAATCCTTAGTCGAGGGCAGACCTAATAAGTACATATTTGTTGTCATAATTTTATTTCATTGTCTTTACAGGCCTCTCTCATCTTTTTAAGTGGGAGAACTTGCACAATTGGTGGCTGACTAAATACTTTTTTGCCCCACTGTATATATATACCTGAGGTAAACGTATCATTATGCAATGTTTACAAACAGTTTTATTGAAGTCTTTCTGTGGTTGAAACACTGATCCTTTATGTTGTTTTAATGCTATAAATAGTAGTAAAGAGGAACAGATGAACGTGTTCCTTCCCTCCAATGTGCTGCTGTTTCAACTGGCACTACAGCAATCTGTCATTGCCACATCAAAGAGCATCAGAATGTTGATTCTTAACAAACATAGAATATAACAATACAGGGCTTATTGCGTTTACTGGACAGAGTACCGTCCAGTAAACTTACCGAAGTTTTATTCACTTAAACAGCATAGATTTAAAAAAATCGATGGAATTTAAGAATCAATATTGATTCGTTGAAATGAAGATAAATAATTCTAGGGAGTTTCAAATGAAGTTCACTGTATTTGTTCGGTATACAAGTGTGAACTGAAAAACCCATAGTGGAAAACCCTTTCTGAAAATATGTGTAATGTTAAACCTCTAATATCAATATGAAAGAGCACAAATGCACACACAAAAACTGTTTCAAATGATTTCATTATTAGGGTGGCACAGTCACCTCACAGCAAGAAGGTGCTCCTGGTTTGAGTCCTGGCTGAGTCATGAGGCTTTTCTTTGTGGGGTTGGCATGTTCTTACTATGTTGGAATGGGTTTTGTCCTGAGTTTCCCCCCACAATCGAAAAGTAGGTGACATACAGAATAGGTGAATTGGAGACACTACATTGCCCGTATAGGTCTGAGTAAGAGTGTAAATGTGTATTTGTCTTTGTGTGTGAGCCTGCTATGGACTGGCTGGCCATCCATCCAGGGCATTCAAGTGGTTTGGAAAATTGACGGAAGTAATTTGTACTGAATACAAACAAAAAAGTATGATGGCACTAAGATGGATTTTAAACATAGTACGTGGGCTTGAAAGCATGTAAATTACATGTAAATACCATAGTACATGAATAACTCGAAGATACTTACTTCAAAGAAAAATGGGTAGGCATTGACACCCAATTTACGCAGTAATTTATCCTGCACCTTGGTAAAAATGCCCTGCTCTTTGTCCTGCAGTGGGGGGTAGATCTGCCGGATGGATATGTAGATCTCTCGTCTGAATGCGATGCCCAGCACGTCCATGTCATCACCTCCATATCTGAATGTGCAGGATAAAGTGACATATGCTAGAGGGCGACAGAATCACAAAGCAAATCTCACTGTTATACATGTATGTAATCAGATATATCTGATTTATTGCCTGTTTAGTATGTAAACTTTGAGTGAATTTATTGACCTTTTTTCCCCTTAAGCTGTTCAGGGTCAATGAGAAGGACACCATCTGATGGAAAAAGAAAAACACAATAATATTAAAAAGTAAACAGAAATGAAGGTTTTAAAAATTACAGTAAGTGCTTAAAATCACAGGCAGGTTAATAAAATTATGCCTATTCTCTCACATACCCACTGGATCCACAGAGTCAACATGGTCAACAAAGTCTCTCTTCCCCATATACACACCCACCTGATTTAAAAACACAACATACAGTATATTATTTGATGAGCCTAAAACAGAAAAAGCCTTCATTCAGTTGTGTGTTTTTTTTCAGGTCGCTCTAATATATTGTCACGACACACACACGAGGATAACCGAAGGATAACATTTTAATCCATGGAACACAGGGTACATAAACACAGGAGACAGCAGGAAACACATCCACGTAGCGAGTAGACCAGACAAAAGGGAAACTGAACAGGCAGGAACTTAAATACAAGGGTAATTAATAGAACACAGCTGAACGGAATCATAATTAAACTAAACAAGAACAGGAAAATTACCAAATAAGGAAACACAGAAAGGTACATGAGGAGCAAAACACAAACAAAACACGGACCAGAGTCTGACATAACTCCCCCCTCCCAGAAGGCACGTCCCGCGCCATACAACATCCAATGGGTGGGGGGGGTGGGCGCTCTGGAGGCCTCTATGAGCAGGGTTACCGGACAGAAGGCCTCCAGGGTGGCGCCCGTTCCGGGATCCATGGCGGATCCGGCAGTTTGGGGCGCCATGGTAGATCTGGCAGCTCTGGGCGCCATGGCGGATCTGGCAGTTTGAGGCGCCATGGCGGAGCAGTTAGTTCAGGAGGCCATGGCAAAGCAGCCTCCGAGGCCACGGCCCCAGCCTTGGCCTCTACGGCTGGAGCCCTACTACCCCCGCCCCCCCACCAAAAAAAATACTTGGGGACGCTTACGGGTTCCGAGGCCCTCCGTGAGCCATGACAGGGGACTGGAGCCCTCCCTGGGCTTAACTGGGGATCTGGAGCCCTCCCTGGGCTTAACTGGGGAACAGGAGCCCTCCGTGGTCTATACTCGGGAACAAGAGCCCTCCATGGGCTATACTCAGGAACAGGAGCATTCCCTGGGCTTGACGGGGAATCAGGAGCCCTCCGTGGGCTATACTCGGGAGCAGGAGCCCTCACTGGAGCGAGCTCTGGGGCTGGAGCCGACACTGGAGCGAGCTCCGGGGCAGGAGCCGACACTGGAACGAGCTCTGGGGCGGCCGGCGGGTTTGACTCGGGAGCAGCCGGCGTACTTGGGGGAGCCACGGCCGGCGGGCTCGACTTTGGAGTGGCCGGCAAACTTGACTCTGGAGCGGCCAGCGGGCTTGTGGGAGCCGTGGCCGGCAGACTTGACAATGGCGCGGCTGGCGGGCTTGTCTTCGGAGCGGCCGGTGGGCTTGTCTTCGGCGCGGTCGGCGGGCATGACAATGGTGCGGTCGGCGAACTTGACTTCTGAGCAGCCGGCGGGCTGGAGTGAGCCGCGACCGGCAGGCATGACAACAGCGCGGCTGGTGCGCTTGACAGCGGGGCGGTCCTCATACCGCGGGGAGAAGAAAAGGGAAAACAAAATATAACAAAAAATGGAAATAAAAACTCGGGAGAAGGGGCGCCGCTTACTGTCTGGGTCTGGTCTTCTGTCACGACACACACACGAGGATAACCAGAACTAAGGAGCGAGGAGACGAGGAATATACGAAACAGTCAATCCATGGAGCACAGGGTACATAAACACAGGAGACAGCAGGAAACACATCCACGTAACGAGTAGACCAGACAAAAGGGAAACTGAACAGGCAGGAACTTGAATACAAGGGTAATTAATAGAACATAGCTGAACGGAATCATAATTAAACTAAACAAGGACAGGAAAATGACCAAATAAGGAAACACACACAAAACACGGACCAGAGTCTGACAATATCCAGATAAATAGCCAAACTTTAATTTAATTCAAAACGCACATTTTGTTGTGGTTGTTCTAAATTGTTCTTCCCGAGGTACTAGTCCTAATAAAATTCCCCTAGTAAAATTTTACTAATAAATACATGTCTAAGAGAAAGTGTATATACTGAACTCTAACAGTACATACCGGACACATTTAACAAGATTTCATATTGTGTGTTCCCTCTGTCACCTATTTTCTGTTGGCCATTTAGAATCAATAAGACAACCACATACAATCCAGCAAGAAACCAGCCCTACAAATACATCCGATCACACCAGCTTGTGAACGACTCCAATACATTTTCTACCAAAAGGATATCAAAGAAAGTATCATCACCATGACATTATCATACACACACGCAGGGCATCCTTTGGGTGGTGCAACTGGTGTGGTCGCGGTCATGGTGAACGGACTAGTTGCACCCCGACTCCCCCACCTCCCCCCCCACCCAACATGGAACGCGATCGCGAACGGAGCTCACCGGGCCCTGCGTCAGCTAAATACCGCCCTGCACACACACATACACACACACACACACACATACATAGTCAACTCCAGAAAGAAGGTCCCTGGTTCAAGTCCTGGCTGAGGCCGTTTTGTGTGGAGTTTAATTGGAATGTTCTCCCTATGTTTTCTCCCTATGTTTCCTCTGTGCTCTAGTTTCTCCCACAATCCAAAACATGCAGGATAGATTTAATACAGACACTGAATTGTCAGTAGGTGTGAGCGACAATGGGAATGTGTGTATGTCTGTGTGCTTTAGCCCTGAGATAAGCGGGCCATCCATCCAGGATATTTCCCTGCCTATGGCCGTTGTCCTTAACTCCTGTCCTAGGGACCCACCGATCTGTGCATTTTATGTGTACCCTATTTACAGTAACACACCAAATTCAGATCATCAGCTTATTAGGAGCGAGATCAATTAATTGAACTGAGTGTGTCAGATAAGAGAAACAAGCCTGCACTGGCCCTTTATGGGCCCACTTAGGGCTAGCCTAAGGGCCCCCAGCGGGCTGCCAGCGCAGGGCCTCTGAGATTTTGCTCATTGGCAAAACGTTGGCCTCTTAGTGCTGGCCCTGCACGGGCAGCCCTCACTTAGCCCACACTATTAATCTACAACAGGGGTGCCCAACCCCATTTGAGAGATAGGTGGCGGTAATGCACTTATAAGTCTGCGATCCGCTGTAAAGCAAGAAGAAGAAGAAGAACCCTGGTCCTGATCAAACATATCTGAACCAACTAATTAGGATCTGAAGGAGCATTTGATAATTACAGACAGGTTTGTTTAATCAGGGTTGGAACTGAACTCTGTAGGAAGGTAGATCTCCAAGAACAGGATGCACCCCTGATCTATAACAATACATTTGTTTCACTTTAAATACTTTTCAGCTACTATAACTTAAGTCTTTGGGAAAATCAGTTATTATACATCTGACATGGATGCAGAGCGGATAACTAACTAACCACATAACTAATGTCTATATTGTCAAAAATGTACAGTAGTCAAAGGGATTTCAGATCAATGGATTTATTAAATACAAAATAGAAAAGATTCAATTCAGGTTAATACAGCAACATATAGACAAAAATGTAAATACACAAAAGTACAAAAAAGAAAGCAAACAAAGCAATATAAGATTGTAGGATTTCAATCTTACAATCTCATTGTAACGTCATGTGAAAGTTGATGTGTGTGAAAGTCTCATCTATAGTACTATCTGTAGTCCAAACACTGTCCATAGCTGAAGTTGGCTGATAGCAAATGAATAATCCAACCTCTTGTAATAAAAACACACCACAGCTCTCAAACACCAGACTCTTCCTAACCAGGAACAATTCATTCATTCATTGACTTTATTTATAGAGTACTTTACAACTGCAGACCGCCGTGGATGAAGTAATAAGATGAGAACAAAACACACCTGACTGGCAAAACTGGTTTGCATGGCATAATAATATAAAAAATTAGAGGCATGTGATCAGACAGACCATAATTTAAAACATCTAAATTACATGTATCCTAAATTAAATATGGCCTTGCTCATGGGTGAGAAAAGGGCTGCAGGGGCATTATAATTCTGTGCAATGACACTTGAGAAATAATTTTGCCTTGCAGTTCTCACAGCAGCCTGGTAGTCTGAAAAACACTGCCTCATAAATTGAAGTGAAACCTGTAGCTTATCCTTTCTCCATTTCCGTTCAGCCTTCATGCATTCCTGCCTCAGAGAACAAGTATAGTTGTTAAGCTATGGAGTTGAATTAAGTTTAGGTTTCCTAACTTTATATGGGGCCACTACATCTAAGATATCGGAGCAAACAGAATTGAACAATATCAACAGCTCATCTGGGCCCACAGAAGGAGAAGGAGACTCAATCACATTCACAAATGAAGAGGAGTTATATACCTCAGAAAATTCTACCACCGTGGATGAAGTAATAAGACGAGAACAAAACACACCTGACTGTGGCAAAACTGATTTGCATGGCATAATAACATTAAAAATTACAGGCATGTGATCAGACAGACCATAATTTAAAACATCGACATTACAAATAGGAAGGCCCAGAGATAAGACCAAGTCCAAAATATGGCCTTGCTCATGGGTTGGATTTGAAATAAACTGTGTGAAATTAAAAGAGTCCACCAGCTGTAAAAACTCAGAGACCATAGGCTTATTAGGACAACACACATGAATATTGAAGTCCCCAAGAATTAAAATGTTATCACAACTTGGCACAATATGTGATAAAAACTGCTGAATGAAATCCTTTTTATATTTCGGTGGTCTGTAGATCAACACACACAGAACAGATTTCCAGCTGTCATACATCATCACTTGAGCCTCAAAGCTCTGATAGTTCACCTTTGACAAAAGACGGCATTTAAATCCCTTCTTAAAAACACATGCAAGTCCGCCACCCCGGCCAGTAGTTCTAGGGGTGCTAAAAAATGTACAGTCATATGGAGAAAGTTCAATCAGGGCGTGTGTGTCGCCAACATTAAGCCATGTTTCAGAAATAAACAGAAAGTCCAAATCATGTTAATGTCAAAAAAGTAATTTAAAATAAACGTTTTGTTTAAGAGTGATCTTACATTAACCAATGCCATATTTACTGTACCAGACTCCAGCGTAGACAATGACGCTCCAACCGAGACCACAGCCGACTCAATATAACACAAATTGTTAATATTTACTCCTCTCAAAACTTTGTGTCGCTGAGTCACAGCCCGCGACGATG